CATATGATTATCTTATGCTAGAAATAGCATGATAAAGTAGAGGCAAGCAAGCATAGTTGGCATAAGCCGTCGTACTCTCACACGTCCCCCCCTCAAAGCTGGGTGGCGTGAGATACACCCTGCTTGACAAGATAGTCCTTGAGAGCACGGCGTGCGTTGCCCATATCAGCTTCTGCAACCCAACTGTCCTCAGTGGGGTCGTATCCCTTTCCAGCGTATCAGGAACTCGAGAGTCTTGCCACCGCGGCGCCGATGGGTGAGAACGCGCTCGATCTCGTACTCGGGTTCATCATGTATGAGAACAGGTGGTGGTGGCGGTAGTTGCCGTCCCTGGAACTGTTGGTTGGGGTCCTTGTAGGGCTTCAGTAGCTGGACATGGAAAGCGTCGTGAAGCTTCCATGTATCTGGTAAGCGCAAGCGGAATGTTACTGGTGTCACCTATGCCTCCACGAGAAATGGACCACAGAAGCGAGGCCGGAGTTTGGATGGGAGGTGAGACATGTTCAAGTTGCGCGTGTCAAGAAGCACCTGATCTCCGACTGCTACCGAGTGATCACGTCGCTGACGGTCGGCATACTACTTCTGGGAGTTCTGCATCGTGGTGAGACGTCGCTGAGTCTTCTCCCATAGCTGTTGCATGGTGGTGACGAAGTCATGTGCGGCTTGGACGTGTGCGGGTGTGGTTGGCTGCTGTGGTGTGAATGGTGCCCGTCTGTAACACAGGAAGGAAGAAGTTTTCCCTGTGGCCGCATGTGATGCGTTGTTGTAAGCAAACTCTAGGGTCGGTAACTGTGTGTCCCAGTGGCCGACGTCGTCTTTGCAAGATGTGCGCAGTAGCTGTTCAACCACCTGATTGAGTCGCTATGTCTGTTCATCAGTCTGGGGGTGGTATGCTGAAGACATTGCAAGCTTTGTCCCCAACAGTCCCATGAGCTCCTTCCACAACTTACTGGTGAATTTTGGGTCTCTGTCTGAGATGAGTGTAGCGGGGATGCCGTGGATGGTGATAATGCGGTCGAAGAAGAGGCGAGCAGTTGCTTCAGCTGTAGCTATGGCGTTGGTCGGTATGAAGTGACCCATTTTGGAGAACTGATCGATCACCACGAGGATGGAATCATGTCCCCATGAGGTCGAAGGAAGTCCTGTGATGAAGTCGAGGCTAACGACCTGCCATGGCTGCTCCGGTACGGGTAGAGGCTGAAGTAACCCTGCTTTTTTCTGCTTGCTTCTCTTCATCCGCTGGCACGTGTCGCAAGAGGTGACGAACTGCTGCAGGTCTGCTGCCATCCCGGGCCAGTAGTAATACTTCGCTATCCCTGCTAACGTCTTGTTGCTCCCGAAATGTCCCGCGTAAGGTACGTCGTGAAACTCCTCCAATAGGATCTGCCGTAGCGGGGCGTAATTCGGTACCCAAATCTTTCCTGAACCCTTCCTTACAGCTAAGTCTTTCTTCCACTGTAATAGCTTCTTACTGAGGTAGGCGATGGGCTGCAAAACTGCGTTCGTGGTGCTGCATCAGTACTGCTCCGACTGCTTGGTCACTAGCGTCTGCTTCCACCACGTAGTCTCTGTCTGGATCCGGTAGGATGAGTACTGGCGCTGTAGTCAGTGCTGTCTGTTTGTTCAGTGCGCGGTAGTCGATGCACATCCGTAAACTACCGTCTGGCTTTAGAGTGAAGAGAACTGGTGCACCGTAGGGAGAGGTGGATGGGCGGATCAGTTGTTTGTCAGTTCAGTTGGACTCAGTCGGTATGGTGCACGTGAGACGGGTTTCGCACCTGGTTCCTCCACGATCTCGTGCTCGTGGGTGCGTGCTGGAGATACGCCTGTGGGTAGGTCGTCGGGCATTCTATCCTTGTACTGCTCCAAGACCTCCTCCTCTGCTGCTGCTATAACCAGTGCTAAGTAACCCGTGTTACTCTCGTTCACTGTCCGTTCGAACCGTGTCAGTGTCGTTTCAGGAACGCTCAATGTATCTGTCAAGCTTCGCAGCTCCACTCGTTTCCCGTTGTTGTAGATGCACGTTTTCCGGTTGACCCAGTCGATCTTGGGGTTGAACCGCTTAAGGAAATCTTGCCCCAAGATGAAATCTAATCCCTTGATGTTCGTGATCGGCAACGTCGGTTTCCACCTCAACGCCCCTATCTGCAGCTGCAGTGTTGACTTTCCGTGGATGGGAAGCTTCGTACCGTCCACCATCGTTGCTGTAAACTGGGTTTCTTCTTAGGATTCTCCAATTTTCTCCAACGTCCCGCGGTCGCACACCGAGTGGGACGCACCACTGTCCACCAGGGTCTGGAGGCGACGCCCGTTGCAGATCACCTCGAGTACTAGTGGTTGCTGCTGCTCCGAGTATCCGTAGATGGTATCGCTTATAGGATCGTAGGGTACGTCGAATATGTTATCCCTAGGTCCTACGCTCAAAGATGCAGCTTCAGTATCAGTTTTCAACTGAGAAAGGTTAGAAGGATTTATCCGAGGCCGATTCGGCTTCTCTTGGGCCTGGAACCTTCCACTAAGCCTTTGCAGCTGTGTAGGCTTCATCTGTGGGGAACAGGGAGCCTTTAAACAGTGCTGCTGGGAGAGAATATTAACTCCTCGGAATGCTCGACCCGTATTAGCGCTCTGGAGTAGGGTCCCCATAATACCCGGTACCGGTTTAATTTCTGACTCTCCCTTAATAAAGGCTTGAAACCCACGAGAAGTAATATTCTTACTTGTCGGGGTATACGGCTGGAGTTTCTCGGTCGGTGTAGGGTCTTGTTTCGCGGATCCTCCATTTGTCTCGGCGATTTCCCCTGGTGCCGGCTGGTCGTGACGTTTTAAATTTGCGCCACCATAGTCTCCTTTTTTTCGCCCTCTCCGAAGTTGCCACGTTGTCCATTTTCTGCGTCGGGGGTGCCGCACTGTTCTTGTCCTTCAGCTCCGCACACCTTCTCTTCATTTTCCAACACGCCAAGATACGATGTCCTATAGCGCCGCAAAATTTGCACATCTCATTATTTGCTAGCCGCTGCTCCACATCGCCCTTGTCATTCTCCATTGGGTCGGCAGTCGTGGGTGGTGCCAATCGCCCCATGCCACTAGTTGGCTTGTTGCGTCGTGTTCCGTAGTAGCTACTGTTCAACGTGTCGAACTGTTCGATCAGTGCTGCCGGAAACTGCGCCCACGTCCCCTTGTCTTGGACTATTCTATTGTTGATCCACTCTAGAGCTGGGCCTCGTAACAGTGTTGCTGCGAGCCGTATGCGCATTGCGTCTTTTGTCGGGGTCGTGCATCTAACGGCTTCGAAGTAAATTTCGAGTTCAGCTACAAATCAACGAACGTCGTTCCATTTTACTGTAGGATCGAACGCCTCCGGTAGCCTCGACTTCACTGCTTCGAGGTTAGCTGTAGCTGCTGCCGTTGTCGCATGTAGAATTGTCAGTGTTGCCGCTGCTGTTGCTCCTACTGTTGTCGCTGCTGCTATGGCGGTTGCCGACTGGTTCGCAAGGAGTTTTTCGAGTCGTGGGAGCGCTGCACGTATTTGCTTATGCTCAGCACGTAACTCCGCGATTTTCTGTACTGAAATATCTCCTTTTCCCTCCATTTGGCGATTTACAGGAAGATGCGCGACGAAAATAATCGAATTCTAGGTGCTGGTCGACTTACTGCGAGTCTAATTGACTGTAGAATTGACGAGCGCGAATTCTGTAGGTTGCGTGAATCTCCCTTAGGCAAAATTCGCGTCCGATCTTGGCCGTTGAGGAGAAAATCGATCCGACGCTCCAAATTCCAACTTTTTTGGGCGAAATTCTCTGGGCCGTTGAGATGAAACTCGATCGAACGGTCGAAACTCCAACCCTTCCACCAGTAAATCTGAGGGGTGTTCGAAAACCGAATCGAGGGGGACTTAGAAAGATTGCGCGGAACTGGTTTTACATACCCGTATCGGCGCTTTCGTCGTCGCCCCCGCGGTTTTTAAAGGCCGGAACTACGCGGTTGAAGACCTCGCGTGTAAGCCCGCTCTGATTACCAAGTATGAGGATCTGGGATCTAGCTCAGAAAAGATGATTCAAATTGAATTGAATTGAATGTCCACCTGGGTACAACACGAGGCTATATATAGGCTCGACACAAGGCCCCGTAACCAGGTGTTACGCGAAGGTTCCGCGGGTCACGAAGCGTCCCGAACAGATCCTTACCGAATTCGGTAGAAGGCAATTCGGTGGCAACCGAAAAGCCAGAATTCGGTGCACGCAACCTAGCTCGGTGCTATAACTATAATAAAATATAGTAAAGCACCTAGCCTAGGAAATCAAGCAATTCATGCATGCATATGATTATCCTATGCTAGAAATAGCATGATAAATTAGAGGCAAGCAAGCATAGCTGGCATAAGCCGTCGTACCCTCACATTTTCTCACTTGCTCACCCCTTGACCTTGTTTGTACTGTTGCATATATATATACACCTGCTCTTGCTTGTCTAGCCTTATATATATATGTAATCCTGCATGTGAACTGGCCTTATGGCCTTGAACTTGTGCTCGGAATGTGTGGTGACTTTGTGATCCACCCTGAGCTTGCTTTGCTTTGCTTTGCTTTGCTTGACTGGTCTTGTGACCCCTTGTTCTCCCCCACTTTGCCTATGGGGGTGTGTCAGAACATTATAGCTTATACATTTGTGTAGGCTGTAATGGGGTAGCCCATAAGGGGTACAACCCAATTAGGGTTAGTACTTGTACCCAACTCTTTCATAGTTCAATCATCCTCGTTTTATTTCACAGTGTCCGCCTTTTCCTGGGTCATGTTGATCCCGTGTGTTGTCCTAGGCACGTGTAAGTGTTGCCATGATGTGTATGTCTTGAGCGATAGTTTCTTGTTCCTTCCTCCCTTGCCGTCACCTCGCGCGCGGCCGAAGGCCGCGCTGTCGAGCATGGGCCGCTGAAGGCGGCCGACGCGAGCGTAAAGTTCGGCCACACCACTGAACCATGAGAGACCAGAGGCCTAGAGGGCCTCTTATACTAAGGAACAGAGAGGGTAGAGGGCTAAGGGAGAGGGCGGAGGTAAGGTGCCTCTCTCTCTCTCTCTCTCTCTCTCTCTCTCTCTCTCTCTCTCTCTCTCTCTCTCTCTCTCTCTCTCTCTCTCTCTCTCTCTCTCGCTCCCTCTCACGAACGAGCGTAAAGTTCGGCCACACCACTGAACAATGGTATAAGAAAATGTTCAGTTGAGAACATAAGTGTGAAAATGAGAACGAGAATGAATGGACTATGAATGAAGTGGGTACAAGTACTAACCCTAATTGGGTTGTACCCCCTATGGGATACCCCACTATAGCCTACACAAAAGCATAAGCTATAATGATCTGACAATAAGAATGAAATGGAACTTTGGTATAAACATGAATACAACACCCGTTAATACAACAATGCAAGCACGAATTGAAGGAAAATCACATACACATTTCATACATGAACACAACTAACTTGATCAGGGTAATGAATCAGTTCTTACCTTAAAACCGTTGCTCGTCCCAAAGAGGCTTATGAGCGTCAGATTAGGCACGTCCCCCACGGTCTGCTGCATGCTTCCCCTATCCTCCACCATGAATGAGCAACGGTGTAGCCAGACCAACAGCATATCAAGGCCTTCAATAAGAGACATGTACAAATTGCATATATTAATATAAGCACTTATAAGTAGACATGTATATCCTCAAACGCAGGCAAAACTTACTAACTGGGGTGTGCACGCGAACCATTGACACGACCAACTTGATAGACTTCCCCAATGAAAACTCCCATCAATAACTTGTTCGACGCTCGCACATCGCAGCGGCTAGAGCCTGTGGTCTCAGGCCACAAGATCATCTCGCTGGCAGAATGCTCTGCATTGAAGAGGAGCATCTTTCCCGACGAAGATTTTCAATCGTTCTTTATGAATGTGTTCTTGGTAAAAATCACCATCCCCTTTAAAAGATAATCGCTTTATTCTATGTTTCGGTTTCAGACAAAACAGAAAACTCATGTCTGATGGATCAGATGAAATGAAAAACCATTTCCGATCAATCAGATGAAAATAAAAGTCAGTTTCTGCAAAATCAAATTAACAGAAAGAAACTTGTATGAAATCTCAGAAAAACAGACAAAAATGTCTGATAGCGAGGACCCTTGGTGGGGGATGCGAGTACAAAAGTCTGGGCGCGTGGGGTGGGGGGGGAGGGGCGGGGGGGCCTTGGTGGGAAGGGCTGGAGTGGTAGACGAGCGAGGGTCTTGAGTGGGGGCTGGGCTGGTATGCTAGGAAGGAGCTGTTTGAACTAGGAGTTTGGTGAATGGATGCCGATTAGGTGACGGAGAGGGGTACAAGACTATCAAGGGAAATAAGTTGTACCCTCTAAGGAATGACCCCTACACAACCTTGAGAGAAATAAACAGAAATATGTTTTGACACACCCCCATAGGTGAAGTAGGGGATAGCCAAACCTAACAGTGGTCACAAGACCAGTCAAGCAAGAGAACAAGCAAGGCAAAGCCCGGGGTGGATCTCAAGGACACCACACAATCTGAGCACAAGCAAGCGGCCACAAGGCCAGTTCACATGCAGATTTAAAATATCAAGGCAGTACACTAATCATAACCTAGCAAGAGTAAACATGCAGGTATAAAGATAGATATCAGTGTACAACAAGAGCAAGTCAAGCAACCAGCAGGTGAGGCAGAGTGGGCACAAGCCCAAGAGCAGTGCAAAAACACTGAAGATCACCAGACCCGAGGGCCTTGGTGAAGACATCAGCAGTGTTGGCCTGAGAGGCCACGTAAGCAAGGCGCAGCTGACCACGCTGCTGCAGCTCCCGAGCAAGAAAGTAACGAAGAGCAATGTGCTTCGTTCTGTGCTCCAGTCTCTGCTCGCGGCACAAGGCAAGCATTGCCTTGTTATCGATGTACAGAACTAGAGGAGAACGAGGCCGCTCCCCAAGTCGGTCAGCAGGTAGGTCAGCCAGCATAGCTCCTGTGCAGCCATGGCCCCAGCGTAGATCTTGTTAGAATATATCTGTAACTGCCTGTAGCTGTAGTTAGTGTAGTTATTATAAACTGTTGGTGGTGCACCTTCTTTGCATGCTTTGTTTACTATTTGTACCTCGCTCAATAGTGAATTCTTCCTCTTTGGCTAAACTCTCTCGACATATGTTTCTCTCAACTCTCCTCCTACCCCAAACCCTAGTGTTCACTTAATCTACTATTCTAACATGGTATTAAGAGCTAGGTCGCCCTAAGACCTGTTTGTTTTTTCCCCCATGGGCCCACCACGTATCCCCCCGCTCATGGCGCTCGTCACGCCCCCCGTCGCGGCCGTAGTTACGATGGTTGCAACGGTCGCGACCGTCAAAACGGTCTCGGCGGCGAGCTGCGTGACGGCGTCAGATGCGGCCTCGTTTCGTCTCCCCGTCGCGCCCGTTGCGCCCTGCTCGTCGCGCGCATCGCCTGCCACAACCCGTTCTGTTACGAACACAGCAGCAGCCGTGCGCAGCTGCATACGGCTGCACATTGCTGCGCGCAGCTTCGTACGACCGTGCGCACCCACGCACGGTCGTGTGCGCCAGCACCAGCGCCCGTCGCCAGCACCTGCGCGAGCGCCAGCGACGTCGCCAGCGCCAGCAGCAGCTAACTCCGCCCCCCCCCTTCCCTTCCGCAGCTTCCGCCGTGGGGGGGGGGGGGAGGATGTGGGGGTGGCGGGTGTGAGTTGCCTGCAGCCTGTCCTTCCCCTCCCTTCAGTGGGGTCCGCCGTGAGGGGGGGAAGAGGTTGCGGGGGGGAGGGTGAGGGGAATGGGGGAGATTGTGATGGAGTGGAGAGAGAGATTCTGCTGAGCCAGCAGCCGCCCCTCCTCCTCTCTCTCTCACTGCCGCGTGTGCTGCCGTGGGGGGGAGGGTGAGATGGAAGCGGAACTCAGCTAGGCATCTGCAGCTGCCGCCCGCTGCTACCGTGGCACCTCCTGCTGCCGCCCCTGCCACCACCTGCTGTTTCTTCTGCTGTCTTCTGCTGTTGAGCGGCAGGTGCTGCCGTTGAGCCTTGCTGTGCCGCCGCACGGTGCCGCCGCACTCACCCGCTCTCCAGGCGACCTGCCGCCACATGCACCTTTGTCTGTTGCTTCTACTTTGGCTGAGGGGTTGGTGTAGCTGAATCTGCCACCACTGCACCGGTTGCCACTGCTCTTGCCTACTGATGCTGTTTTATCTGTTCGTGGTGTACCCATCCAGGATGTGTTGCTGCATAAACTTCTGCTGCAGGCAGTTATGGGGGAGTGTTAGAATATATCTGTAACTGCCTGTAGCTGTAGTTAGTGTAGTTATTATAAACTGTTGGCGGTGCACCTTCTTTGCATGCTTTGTTTACTATTTGTACCTCGCTCAATAGTGAATTCTTCCTCTTTGGCTAAACTCTCTCGACATATGTTTCTCTCAACTCTCCTCCTACCCCAAACCCTAGTGTTCACTTAATCTACTATTCTAACAGATCTTGGCCTCACAGCTGGAACCAAGCACAAAAGAAGAACGAGTGGACCTCCACGAGACAGAACCAGAGCCAAGACTGAAGGTGTAACCCTGTGACGAACGCTGAGTCGCCTGGTCGTCGGCCCAAGAAGCGTCAGAGTGTCCTGTGAGTACCACCGAGCCCCATGCCTGATGTACTGCACAAGTAACGCAATACCCTCTTTGCAGCATCTAAGTGCACCTTTCGGTGTTGACCAAGTGCCACGTAGCGAGCTAGGAGGCTGAGAGGGTACGCGAGGTCAGGTCGAGTGCACCTCATCAGGTACATGAGGCAACCCACAAGCTCTAAATACTGACCACTCGGCTCTACGGACTCGTCCGAAGGTGGAACTGAGAGCGAGTGGCCGGTAGACAGAGGAGTGGGCTATGGCGAGGAGTACTGGAAGCCGAAGCGCCGAAGGACCTGCTGCACCTTGTGTGACTGAGTCAGGGTGATGGTGCGCCGTGCTCTGTCCCAGGTGATCTACAAGCCAAGATAGCTCCGCAGCTCACCCAGGTCAGTGCAGGTGTATCTCTCCTACAGCTCCGCCTTCACTTGGGCTAGCGCCTCAGTGTCAGCAGTAGCAAAAACCAAGTTGTCGACGTACACGAGAACGTAGAATGGCGGCAAAGTAGTGTTGGTGTGTAGAAACAGCGACGGGTTTGCAGAGGAAGGAGCAAACCCAAGAGCCGCAAGTGTCGTCCTCAGTGTGTCGTGCCACTTGCTGGGCGCCTAGCGGAGACCGTACAGTGGCCGCCGGAGGCTCTCCTGGGTACCGGCAGGAAACGACCCAGTGAAGCTAGGTGGGCGGCGCAGCCAGATCTGCTCGTGAAGGCTGCCTTGCAAGAAAGCTGTGGAGAAGTCGAAAGAGTGCAGCTCGTAGTCACGCTGTGCTGCAACGTGCAGCAGCACCCGAAGAATAGACATCTTTGGGGTGGGGAAGAAGGTATGGAAGAAGTCGACCCCCTGTCGCGGACTGAAACCTCGAGCAACGTAACGAGCCTTGAAGGCAGGCGGAGAACCCGGCGGCCGCTTCACCCTGAAAATCCACATGCCACTGACGATGTTCGCCCCAGGTGGGGGAACCTCGTCGATGTAGGTGCCTGTGGACTTCCTGAAAGCCATCTCTGCGTCCATTGCTGGCTGCCACTGAGAGGAGTACTCACCCGAAATCGCCTCTCTGTAAGAGCGCGGGGTGGGAATGTCAGGTGCATCCGGGTCTCTCTCAGGGCAAAGCAGCATGGACACGAAACGAAGTAAAGCGACCGCAAGACACTCAAGCTCAAATTGCCTATCCTCAAGGACGTCACTGTTAAGGGCAGGCTCACTCCCGGCAAACGGAGGACAGAGAGACTCAGACTCAGTAACAAGACTCGCGACGTAGTCGAGACGACTCCTAGCTGCAAAGTCGACTAGCTTAGTGACTAGGGCAAACGTAGCAGTTTACTCAAACTCAGGGTCATTGACGGTAGTAGCGAGGAGACGAGTGACAGTAGGACTAGTAGCACGAGCAAGGTCAGACTCAGGGTCAGGAACGTGCGGAAGAGAGGACGCGGGAGGCTCAGGCAGGACAACACGCTGTGGAACAGAGGAAGGACGAAGTGCCATACCGTGAGTGCCTGGGACAGTTGGAGGACGAGGACGGGGGACACGATGAGCACAAACAGGTGTGGAAGCACGAGTCTCAGGCTCACGACGCTCAGTCAGAGATTCAGTCACCTCAGTGTGAGGAGCAGGAGTAGGCAGTGGGGAGCCAGGCAGTAGTTGTGGCTAAGACTGGTTTGTCGGTCGACACAGGAGAGGTGGAGTGAGGCCAGTGGAAGACAGGAAACTAAGAACCTGGTGAAGGACCAAGTCAGGCGGCGGCAGGGACGAGTGCGGCTGCAGGTAGAAAAACAGTCGGAGCGGGGCAGAACCAGCGGCTCCAGCCCCTCCAGCACCAGTAACACCAGCACCTCGAGCACCAGCAGCTCCATTAGCACCTCCACCGCTAGGAGCACCACGAGCTCCGGCAGCGCCAGAACCTCTAGCACCAGTAGTGCCTCCAGAACCTCCAGTAGCACCTCTAGCACCTCCAATACCAGGAGCACCACCTGCTCCGGCAGCTCCAGCACCTCTAGTACGAGCACCTCCAGGACCAGCAGCTCCAACACCTCCAGTACCTCCAGTACCTCCAGCTCCAGCGCCTCCAGCACCAGTAGTACCTCCAGCACCTCCAGTGCCAGCAGCTTTAGTAGCTCCTCCAACACCTCCAGCACCAGCAGCACCACCTGCTCCGGCAGCTCCAGCACCTTGAGTACGAGCACCTCCACGACCAGCGCCCCAGCACCTCTAGTACCTCCACTACCTCCAGCTCCTGCAGTACCTCCAACACCTCCAGCGCCAGCAGCTCCAGTAGTACCTCCAGTACCTCCAGCACCAGGAGCGTCACCTGCTCCGGCAGCTCCAGCAACTCTAGTACTAGCACCTCCAGGACCAAGAGCTCCAGCACCTCCAGTACCACCAGCTCCAGCGCCTCCAGCACCTGTCGTACCTCTAGCACCTCCAGCGCCAGCAGCTCCAGTAGCACCTCCAGCACCTCCGCCACTAGAACACGCAGCACCCCCAGAGTCACCACCCCCAGTCGCAGCACCCCCACAACCAGTATCCCCAGTCGCAGCACCCCCAGACGCAGCACCCCCAGAACCCTCATCCTCTGTCTCAGCACCAGCAGTCTCAGCTCCAGAGTCCACAGCAGCAGGCTGCGGAGGCGGCGAAGTCGGCCGAGGCGGGAAACCAGGGGGGGTCTCCAAGCGTGGTGAGTGGCGAGTGGCCACCGTGTCGTCAACGACTGGGTCACCCCCCTCACCTGGGCCAGAGGAGTCAGAAGAGATCTCCACAGACTCAACCAAGGGGGGTGGCTCTACCTGAGACACACTTGAGGGAGCAGGACCCTCTGGGGGGAGGGGTCTACTGGGTGGGGGGACTGGCACCAGGAAGAGAAGCGCGAGGGGGACCCGGTGGGACGCGTGCGGGTGTAGCCTGTAGAAAGAGACAGACTCGTCAAAGGTGACGTCCTGGGAGGAGAAGACTCGACGCGCGCTTGGGTGGTAGAACTGCCACGGCGGGGCTTCGGTGGAGAAGCCAAGGAAGACACAGCGGAGAGTATGAGGGGAGAGCTTGCTCGCGTTGGCATCGCGAACAAGACTTAGCGCGCCCCAGACCCGAAACACCGACGCATCGCCAACCTTCCCCGTCCACCAGAGGGTGGGCAAGGTGTCTGGCTCAGAGACACGGGGCCAAAGGTTGAGCTGATGCGCAGCGTATCGGACCGCAAATGGCCACAGAAAATGGGGAGCAGCCGCATGGATCATGGAGGTACGAGCAACCTCCATGATCAAGCCAATGCGACGCTCAGCAATCCCATTCTGCTGAGGAGAGGCCGGAAGCGTGAACGTCTGGCGGATGCCCTCGTTTCGACAGAACTCCTCAAGGAGGCCGTAAGAGAACTCACTGCACGACACGAGCAAGACGCTGCAAGCTGACCAGACGCAGACACCCGACTCGACGCAGCCACCTGACCGACTCAACCACCTGTGCAGACTCAGTGGTTGGTGTGTACAGACTAGACCCAGGTCATCTAGTGAACGTTGCAAGGTGACGCGCAGTCCTGGAACATGTACAGATCGCCACACGCTGCCCTCCAGGAGTGAAGGTATCAACCCAGACATCCTGAAGAGCAGCGTTGCTCACCAAGTTTGTCGAGAACGAGGGAAAGTGGATGGCTGACAGAGAACCGGAGGGGACTGCTGGACACGGGAGAATAGTGGAGGCTTGTGCGACTACTGGGCCCCCAGAGGGATCAGCAAGTGAGAATGGGACAGGTGGAGCTAGTTGTGTGAGTGTGGTGCAGTCACGAAAGAAGCAACGAGACGTGCCTGAGTCAAGTGTTAAAGTGTGTAGTGCCTAAGTGGAGGCAGCTGACTCACTAGGAGCAGACTCACTAGCACTAGTGACAGCAAACACACTAGCACCTAGGGCTGCAACAGACTCACTAGCACCTGGGACAGCAGACGCACTAGCACTAGAGCTGCAGCAGACTTGCTCATACCAAGATCAGTATCAACGACACCAGCATCACCAGGGACACACAAGTAACACGCACCCTCATCACTAAGCTCAGGCACATATATAGCAAATATAGCCTTGTTGATCTGAACAGAGTCAAGAGCATAAACATCTACTCCCATCCCCTGCATTTTCAGCCAGTTGGGGGCTGGCAGCTCATCCCCGTACTCATCCACCCAGGCATCCTCAAGGCGGCCGAAGCAGCGATGCTCAGTGTGCGGTTTCCCGCAGGTCTGACCCTCCAGCTTCCCTGTGCGCCTGACGTACGGGCAGCGACTAGAGCCCCCAGAAGAACCACGCTGGACAACCCACTCACAAAGCTGCTGAGGGGTGGGGTTGTCCGGGAGGCGTGGCAGCTGCTGTCTACTCCCAAAGCCTCCACCGCCACGCTCGGAAGCGCCACGACCTCCACCCTTGCCAGCTCCACCCCGACCTCCTCCACCGCCCCCGCCGCCTTCACCACCCCAGCCGCCTCCACCACCCCCGCCGCCTCCACCACCCCCGCCGCCTCCACCACCCCCGCCGCCTCCACTACCCTCGCCGCCTCTACCACCCCGTCCACCTCCACTGCCGCCACCGCCAGAGCCGCCCCCACCACCTCCACCCCCGACCCGCCACCCCTGCCACCCCCACCGCTGTTGCCACCCCCACCGCTATTGCCACCCCCACCACCCTTGCCCCCTTTGCCCTTGCTGTTGTTGCGCCTTCCACTAGGAGTAGACGCAGCGCCAGCCTCCTCAGCACCAAGGAGGTCGAGAGTAGCAGCAGTAGCAACTAAGAAGAGGAGAGGGGAGGGAGAACATCCTTCAAAGAAGGGGGAGTGGGGAGTGCCGCGAGAGGTAGCGGCAGCATTGGTGCTCTACTCTGCCTCGAGAAGGGACTTCTCGGGCGAGTCATGCGTGAGCTTAGTGGGGTCAAGGGCTAGGAACTGGTCCCTGAAAGTGCAAAGGGATTCAAGGAGGCGAGTGACTAGGAGGTACAGGGTGAAATACTACGGAGGGGGGGGGGGGGGGGGTTCTTAGCAAGAAAGTCCGTCTTGAGAGCGGAGCGGAAGCGAGCCTCACCAGTGCGGAGGTGGGTAAAGAGGTTAGCGACAGTGGTGAAGGTGGCTAGGTCGGGATGCAGGCACGACAGAATGAGACGGCCTACAGCAGCAATGACTGGGGAGGAATAGCGGGCGACGACAACAGTTTTTTGCTGGAAAAAATGCGCTCGTTCAGCGACAGGAAGGTGATTACGAACCGCAAGGCGAGCAATAGCATCATGAATCATCCACTGAGTATGAGCAGCTGTCTCTGTGGCAGATGAGATGGGGAGGGTTCCGTCGGTATGGGCTAACAGGGGAACTCCATCCTTTGCCTCGCTCTGCAGGAACAGCCGGAGGTCATCGGGCCAGATGTCAAAGTCGATCGTGCGGCCCTCAGCGTCGAAACTAAGAACGGAGACGGTAGTCATCGTAGCAGTTGTGAAATTAGAACGAGGAATGATGACTGGAAAGAGGAAAGTACAAGTTTGTATAGGCAAAAACTAAAAAGGCTGTACCCCATAAGGAGTGCCCCACTACTGCCTAGAGTATAGTTCTGACACACCCCCATAGGCAAAATGGGGGACAAGCAAAGGAACAAAGCAAAGGTCAAGCTCAGGGTGGATCACAATGTCAGAATCCCAGTCACTAGACCACTGGGATAAAAGGGCTTGTTTGTGTAGCGGGTAAGTGCGCCCATAACCCCCCAGGCCAACGTGCCTGTAACCCTTCCCTAGGATCAATTGGGGATCACAAGTGGACCTCTGACACCCCCCCCGCACTGGGATGCCAGAGGTGCACACACTGGGATTCGAACCCGAGACCTTCGCTCTGATACCATGTCAGAATCTCAGTCACTAGACCACTGGGAAAGGGCTTGTTTGTGTAGCGTATAAGTGCGCCCATAACCCCCCAGGCCAACGTGCCTGTAACCCTTCCGTAGGATCAATCGGGGATCACAAGTGGACCTCTGACACACGACGTCACCATGCATTCTGAGCACATGCGAAAGGCCAGTTCACATGCAGAGTTATATAAAGAGGACAACAAGTAGTACAGTGATCACAACCTATCAAGTGTAAGCATGCAGGTGCAGGTATATATAGATCACAGTACAGGCAAAGTCAAGAGGTGAGCAAGTGAGGCCATGTAGGCACAAGACCTAACATAGTACAAAAACGCTGATCATCACAAGGCTGAAGTGCCTTGGTAAGGATATCAGAAAGTTGGCCCGAGTGGCCACGTAAGCAAGACGAAGCTGACCACGCTGCTCCAACTCTCGAGCAAGGAAGTAGCGCAAAGCAATGTGCTTCATTCCGTGCTCCACTCTGTGCTCCTAACACAAGGCAAGCATGGCCTTGTTGTCGACGTACAGAACTGGAGGAGAACGAGGCGCCTCTCCCAAGTCGGTCAGCTGGTAGGTGAGCCAGCGTAACTCCTGTGCAGCCATGGCCCCAGCGTAGATCTCAGCCTCACAACTCGAGCTGAGAACAGAAGACAAGCGGGTAGACCGCCACGAAACAGAGCTGGAACCAAGGCTAAAAGTGTAACTCTGTGACAACCGTTGTGTAGCCAATTCGTCAACCCAGGAAGCGCCTGCGTGACCAGTGAGGACAACTCTAGCCTGTCCTCCAAGCACGAGCCCCATGCCCGACGTACTGCACAGGTAGCGCAACACCCTCTTCGCTGCAGCCATGTGCTCTGGTCGGTGTCTCCCAGGAGCAACATAGCGTGCCAAGATGCTAAGAGGGTATGCCAAGTCATGTCCAGTGCAGGTCATCAGGTACATGAGACAGCCAACAAGCTCTGGGTACGGGCCACTCGGCTCTACGGACTCATCCAAAGGCAGAGCTGAGAGCGAGTGGCGAGTAGACAGAGGAGTGGCCTGAGGCGAGGAGTACGTGAAGTCAAAGCGCTGAAGGACCTGCTGCACCATGTGTGACTGAGTCAAGGTAATGGTGCACCGTGCTCTCTCCCGGGTGATCTGCAAGCCAAGATAGCTGCACAGTTCACCCAGGTCTGTGCACGTGTGTCTCTTCTGCAGCTCCGACTTCACATGGGCGAGTCCCTCAGTGTCAGTAGTGGCAAAGACCAAGTCGTCGACGTACACGAGGATGTAGAACGGCGGCAGCGAAGTGTCGGTGCGCAAAAACATCAACGGGTCAGCAGTAGAAGGAGCAAACCCAAGAGCCGTAAGCGTAGTCCTCAGTGTGTCGTGCCACTCACGCGGCGCCTGGCGGAGACCGTAGACTGGCCGCCGGAGGCTCCACTGGGTACCAGGAGGAAACAACCCAATGAAGCCAGGAGGGCGACGTAGCCAGATCTCCTCGTGTAGGCTGCCCTGTAGGAAGGCTGTGCTGAAGTCAAGACAGTGAAGCTCGTAGTCACGCTAAGCGGCGTCGTGCAGCAAAACCCGAAGAGTGGTCATCTCCAGGGTGGGAGAGAAGGTCTGAAAGTAGTCATCTCCCTGCCGCTGACTAAAGCCTCGAGCCACGTAACGCGCCTTGAAGGCAGGTGGAGAACCCGGCGGCCGCTTCACCCTGAAAATCCACATGCCATCGACAATGTTCGCCCCAGGTGGGGGAACCTCGTCGACGTAGGTACCTGTGGACTTCCAGGAAGCCATATTTGCGTCCATGGCTGTCTGCCACTGAGAGGAGTAGGGACCCTCTATCGCCTCTACATAAGAGCGCGGGGTCGGGATGTCTGGTGCATCCGGGTCTCCCTCAGGGGCAAGCAGCATGGACACGAGATGAGGTAAAGCAGCAGCAAAACACTGGAACTCCTCCTGCCTGTCCTCAAAGACGTCCGTGCTAAGAGCACACTCACCCCCGACGGACAGAGGACAGACAGACTCAGACTCAGCAACAAGACTCGCGGCGTAGTCTAGACGACAGTGAGCAGCAAAGTCGACAAGCTCAGCAACTAAGGCAGACGCAACAGTGGACTCAAAGGAAGGGTCATTGACAACAGTGACGAGGAGTCGCGTGACAGTAGAACTAGTAGCACAAAGGGCGTCGGACTCCGGGTCAGCAAGGGCACGAAGAGAGGACGCGGGAGGAGACGGCAGAGGGACACGCTGCGGAGCAGTGGAAGTACGCAGAGCCATTTGGTGCGTGTAAGGGACAGGTGGAGGACGCTGACGCGAACCACGACGACTAGTGCGAGCAGCACAAACAGGCGACGCAGGATGAGACTCAGGCTCACGACACTCAGCAAGACCTCTGGTCGGACTAGTGTAAGGAGAAGGAGCAGGCAGTGGGGAGGCGGGTTGTAACTGTGACTGGGACTGGACAGGCGGTGGACACTCTAAGGAAGGAGCAGGACCAATAGAAGGTGGGAGATTAAGAACCTGCTAAAGGAGTGGACCGAAGTACGGCCGCGGCCGCGCAGCGCCTCCAGAACCAGCAGGAACAGCACCAGCACCCCCAGCGTCAGCTGCAACTCCTGCAGCACTAGTAGCGCCAACAGCACCCCCAGGAGCACCGGCTCCAGCAACACCTCCAGCAGCTCCAGTAGCGCCAACTCCAGCACCCCCAGGAGCACCGACTCCAGCAGCACCTCCAGCTCTAGCACCTCCAGCAGCTCCAGCTCCAGCAGGACCACCAAAAGCCCCAGCACCTCCAGTAACGCTAACTCCATCACCTCCACGAGCACCGGCTCTAGCAGCACCTCCAGCTCCAGCACCTCTAGCAGCTCCACCTCTAGCAGGACCACCAGAAGCCCCAGCAGCTCCTATAGCGGCAACTCCTGTACCCCCAGCTGCACCGGCTCTAGCAGCACCGCCAGCTCTAGCACCTCCAGCAGCTCCAGCTCCAGCAGCACCACCAGGCCCAGCAACTTCAGTATCTCCAGTACGAGCACCTCCGGGACCAGTGGCTCCAGAACCTTCAGCAGCTCCAGCAGCAGCAGAACCTCCAGCGCCCGCAGCACCACCAGCTCCAGCAGCACGGCTCCAGCGTCGAGCATGTTGTGTGATGCAATCATATGCATTCACGTCAGTTTGCCTCCCATCATGTGTTCGTGCGCTGCATGCGTGGTGTGAGCGTGTGCAAGAATTTGTGTTTTGTGCGGTTTGGTTTTTCTGAGTGTGTGTGAATGTCATTTGGCTTGAGCAGATATTTGAAGTGACTCCTCTGCTCAAGAGCTTTCCGAGGAACCAAGTATCACTTCAATCGGAGCACGAACAAGAAAGTTACGAACGTTGGAGTTCGTATGCTTTTCATATTTGATTGTGGCAGCTGTGGGAAGTTGTGGGGTTGACTCAATATGGGGTACAGACTTTTGGGGTTTGGGAAATTCGTCTTTTCTACTGTAGTTGCTGCCAAATGGTTGGGAGAAACCAAACCAGGGTGGCAAGTGTGGCCAAGATGGGTTGAGGTGGATTGTGGAGGTTGGGATAGTGACAAAGGTCAAAGTTGGGTTGCCTATGGAGAAGGGAATTGTATGGCATGGGGTTTCCTTGGTTGGGGACTCTCTTGGGACCTTCCCTCTCGTCCTCCTCATCCCTTCCACCTGGTTTAGTGCTACTCTAATTCTTTTGTGTGAACTTGTGTGAGACTCTTGAGATTGAGTTAAGATTCTATGGCAGCATACCCCCTAGTGCGCCGAAATTGATAACTCAAGGAATACTTCACTTTTTCGTATGATTCAACTTGGGAATTGTAGCCATAGAGTAGAGCTACAACATGTCTGACTTTAATTAAGTTTTGACAGTGAACTTTTCGTCGACGGCGTTTCTTGTGAGCGCGACTTTTCTGTCCAGAATTCTAAGCCAACGATTTTGAGAAATTTAGGCACCTAATCTTCATAGACTTCGTCCTTAGTCTCTAACAGAGCAAACCACTCGCGCAGCTGCTGTGGAGAGAGTGGCTCCCGCCGGGACGAAGCACCCAAAGGACCTCCAGGCTCAGCACCTCCAGACACCACACGCGCAGACTCAGCACCCTCAGGCTCCGCACCCCCACACTCAGCAACCCAAGTCTCAGCACCCCTAGGCTCAGCACCCCCAGAATCAGCACCCCCAGGCTCCGCACGCTCAGGCTCAGCACCCCCACACCCGGCACCCTCAGGCTCAGCACCCCTAACAGCACCAGAAGCAAACAGCTACCTCGAAAGGCTCGACTGCGTCTACCTGGGACACACCTGAGGGGGCAGGACCCTGAGGGAGGAGGGGGTCTACCGGGGGAGGGACCTGGCATGAGGAAGAGCGAGCAGGGGGGGGGTGGGGGGCAGTGCGGTAGGGGACGAGACGGTAGTAAGGAACCGACTCGTCAAATGTGACGTCCTGAGAGGACAGAACACGGCGCGAGGTGGGGTGGTAAAACTGCCAACCATGCGCGTCAGGGGGGAAGCCAAGGAAGACGCAGGGAACAGCACGAGAGGGACAGCTTGTCCGCAAACACGGAACGCAGATGCATCGCCAACATTC